GGTATGTAACTGTGTGCAGGTGAAACACACAGGAGGCTAGAGGAAGAAACAGTTGACTTTGCAAACCAGAGTCTGAAGAAGGCTACGGTAGGTCAGAACAGACACAGTTATACCCGTGATGCGAGAGTTGCTTCTTCAGTGACTTGCCTGTCCTTTCCCACCAATGCCCTTTGTGACAATTCTTTTGTACAAGTCATCAAAGAAGCTATCTCCAGGCGTCACACTTACCAGTGTGGCCAGGAGCCATCAGCCTGCTCACTCCTCTTCATGCCTGCCGCCTTCTCTCTTCCCTATGCCTGGCTTTGCTGGCTGCATTGCTTCATTCTGATGACACATCCTGAAGCTTCCACGGTGGAGACAATGTGAGGCAGGCAAAGAATGGTGCAGGGTCTGTAAAGCAGGATTTCAGAGAGTCTCAGAAGTTTATGCGTGTACAAGCCATTACGGCTAACAGGGATACCCATGGATGTGGTGTGTCATCTACCCAGCCCCACCTGAAGCTTTGGAGAAGCCTGCAGGTGTGGCTAGAGCTTCTCGAGCCACCCAAGAGGAGCAGTCAGCTCATAGGTGGGTTTGGGCAGGCGAGGCTCACCACAACAAACCCCGGCTGTGGCGGCAGACACAGGGGATGAGGAGGGATGAACAAGGTTGGGAGTCTGCTAGGGAGCCATGGGGAAAAGTTGCGCAGTGTCATGAGAAGGGGGGACTAGTCTGGCATCTCTGCAAGGTGTTGGGTGGCTTTCTTAAGGTCCTTGTGATTGAAAACTGAGGTCTGCCCCTAAAGAACCGTCTCCCATTGCTCTCTTCAGGCAGCACTGCCAGAGGTTCTGCTTGCCAATGCTCGCTAGTGACACTGGAAGCAGGCTGGACTTCCTTGTGAGAGCTGGTGTGCTGGTGAGGCTGCACTTGGGAGCCAGGTAAGGTGAGAGCCCTTTGGGTATTGCTGTCATAGGCGTACAGCCACGGAGCTGTCGGTTGCAACTTCCCAGCAGTGTGAGCATCTGTTTGGAGACAAAGCCTCTGGCATTGGCTTCTACAAGCTTAGACCAAGCAGACGGTGTCAGTCCTTACCACCTCCCATCACCCCAAGGAGCTCCACTGGCAAGCTCTCCCTTGAAACCACTGTAAGCAAATCAAGGTGGAAAGCATTCAGGGGCTACCTGCCTCAGGCTTGGGCACAATCGTTTTCTGCACAGCCTGCGTCCCTTCAGCCCACAACACCAGCCCCACTCCCATCTTTGCGGCCCTGCTAGGCTCAATGCTCCGTGGAGGACCCACCTCTGCCTTTGAATACTAGCGCTTCTACGGTAGACAGAGGTGGGAAGCTGTGGACCGTCACAAGCTTTCGACATCAACGCGTACGCTGGCCTCTGCTCCTGAGTCTGCTTCTTGTTTCCTTTTAGTGCCAGTGGCACCTCACTCCTCAGCTGCTGCTAATGTGTTTCTCGTTCACTCCACATTGGTCTGCACCAAGGGATCCTGCAGCCTGGAGTCAGCTGGGGTGACTGGCGGTGAACGCTTCAGACAGGCAGTGCTGCAACAGTGGGTGCAATTGTGTAAGTAAGTTGATATTGCTGAAAGGGTTTCCCAATTAACTTAATAGCCCTCAGTTACCGCTAACCTGTGTGTGGTTCACTGTATACACAGCCCTGCAGTCTTTGAGGTTTCTGAGAAAATCCTCCAAGGCTGTGTGATCTCCCTGAAAATAAGGGACAGAAGTTACTTGGAAGCCAAGAGCTGTCGGTTCTATGAAAACATCGGCTTAGGCAGACACCCGTGGGCTTGTCTTTAACGTACCTTGGCACTGTCCGTGAGTCTTTCACTCAAACTAGAGGCAAGGCTTAATGCGTCGGAATAATCCAGCTGAGATGGCTGATAGAGCACATGAGACTTCGTAGCTGTACGTGCCCACTGTGCCTCTGCTGTTCAGATCAGGGCCTGAATGAAGGAAAAAGTGTTTGACAAGTTCCCCCTTCCCTTCTTCCCTCATCCCTTTCCCTTCTTCCCAAAAATATATTGTCTGTTTAGCCTGTAGGTAGGCCAAAAGCGAGGTGCAGGTATGCGAGGAAGGAATGGAGGGGTACACCCACCAGTTTTCTTCTTTTCTCTTGCCTGAGGCAATGCCACATGCAGCCTGTTGTGCGAGAGGTGACAAGGCTGACCTTTGAGGGGATGTGTTGAGGAGGTGTGTTGGTGCCACGCAGTGTGTGAGAAATGGGCCCGAAGGGGCAGTCCTTCCAGCACGTGGCCCCAGGCAGGGCTCAGTGTTTTGTCCCCTGCAGAGAAACTGGGAGCAGGCAGTGGCAGCAGCTGAGGGAATCTAGGGTAAGAGAGAGGGCACTATGGATGTGTCGTAACAGTGCTCAGTGTGCCGAAAATCGTCTCTGCCAAGGAACTGTCGGTCCTTCACAGTGCAGGGTACTGTGACTTCTGATAACTTACTCGGAGACTGATGTTTAGGGTTTGTGACTGCCGGGATCACAAACAAAAGCAGGGAAAGGAAAAAGGAAAGGGATCACCCTCTCTTGCCTCTCACATGGGAAGTACGTTGTGCTGAAAGGACAATGGGAGAAGCATTAAGAGTATGTGAGGGCGGGAGCAGGGCAAGGAGCTGCTGGAGACAGAAGAGAGCACAGGCTGGACTATCAGCAGTCTCCACAGGAATGGCCAGCCTCTAAGTTTGCGGGTCCTCAATCCAGAGTTTGCATTGGCTTCTCCCTACCCCCAGCCAGGAAAAGTAAGAAAACTCGTGCTGCAATGCAATATCCCAAGCTTGATCAGAAAAAAACCCAAAGAAGGCACTGTTCATAGTGTGTATGCAGAGGAATCTATGGTCTTTATTCTATAGACACTGAGGTGGGTACAAAGACTCATTGCAGAAGAAAGCGAC